AATTAAAATTTTTTTTTTTTTTTTTTTTTGTGAAAGAATCCAATACAAGAAACTAATTGACCCCTGGTTCACAGAAAAGAAAAAAAGAAAGAAATTTTAAGTTGTAAAGTGAGTACAAGAATGATAAATAGTAAATCATATAAAATTACTTTGAATCTGGAGATTGAATGAACTCCTTGGCATTTACGGAGTGCGGAGAGAGCGGTGGAACAGTTGAACAGATTAGTAAATAAGAAATAAAATAAGGTAAATGTTAAGATAATCGCCACGTTTTTTTTTAGTTTTTTTAGCTAATGCCTGACGTTAACTGCTAACGGTATTTTAAAAATTCTGAAACATGAATTGTTTGTAACTTCTAGAAAGATTATCGGAGTTTTCTTTGTAAAAAAAAAAAAATTTTTTTTTATTTTAAGGGTTGATGATCCGATCATTATAATTTTTTAATTTGTTGTGCTTTGCGTTTTGCGTACAAAAAAAATATATATATAATATATCTATTAGAACAATTATACATAATTATTAATTATTTCAACAATAATATAAAACTCCTTTGACTAATTAATGATTTCCGCTTCCTAAACTTAAAAAAATTTTTCATCACAAATTGATTTCTATAATCTCTTTTTCTTGGTCTTATTTGGCGTAAATAGTTGAATACTTTTTTTTCTTTGTTTTTCTCACCTGAAACGTTACCCTCATTTCCCCGCGGTACACATTTACATCACATTATCACACATTTAGCATTTAGAATCTGCCATTATAAAATTTCCTGTTTATATGTTAGTTCATATAATAAAAATGCCACGTTTTATATAAACTTGAGTTACATGTCTGCTGATTCTGTTGATACTTTTCTTTAAAGGTGAATAATTTACCTTTACCGCATGTAACAGTTTTATTTTTTATGCAACGATATGCAAAATGATCGACACGTGCTGTCATTCATTTTTAGTAAAGCCCTACGTTTCGAAAGTTTTTCTTTATTATTTTATGTAATAGATTTAAAATGAGTCATAGTACGTCTATGATGAGAAGAAAATGCGATTATTGTTATCATGAAATTATCACAATGATACGACAATGTAACGCGAGAAATTGAAAAAAAACTTTAAAATTCAACAAATATAGTTGACAAAACATTTTTTTTTTTTTTTTTTCGTTGTTTTAAAAAAAGAAAACTAATAATTAAAATTCAATTGAGAAAAATCTCTTATTGTACATAAGGGAAGAAAATTAATTCCGAAGTTCATTAAAATTTTTTTTTTCGCGTTAAAAATAATATATTTATGTTATAATATTATTTGTTCATCCATCTATTTATTTATTTATGCATATTTCAAACAATTTCTTGTGACTCCTACAGTAACAAATAAATTCTTGTTCCCCATTAAAAAAAAAATGCATTTTTCAGGAATAAATTGAAGATGATCGATCCCTTTTCATATTTTTTAATTAACCGTATTAATTCGTAATTAAATTTTCTTTGTTCTTATTGTCATGTAATCTATCTAACATACATATTATGTATTGTATATATATATTTTTTATGAATATTATATTATCTTAATTGTAAAACAGGATAAAATTCATATGAAAAAAAAAAAATGTATTACAAAAAATCGGATGACAAAAAAACGGATGACAAATTCAAAAAAAAAATAAATAAATAATCGGATTATAAATAATCGGATTGCAACACCGAAATAATGATGGTTCAATAAAGGGGTTAAATTCATATATTTATTAAATTGTTTCAAATTTTAAAGTATTTATGTTATACATTATTTAATACATGAGATAACTTTATTATTATAAAGTTATAAGTTTTTGTTTATTTGTTAACGCGAACATAATAACAACATGATAACATGATATTATTGATATACAATATCAATTTCTTTTTTAATCGAAGAAATCTTTAAACAAATGAGGTTAAAAGGTTTTTTAAAAGGTTCTAATTAACGAACCTTAATTCCGGACTTTTCTCTCCGTGACTTTTTTTTTTTTTTTTTCCTCTTCTCTTTCTTTTAATATAAACTCATTTTCTAATAATAAATTAATTAAAAGCATATATTAATTTTCCTAATATGAAATAATTATCTTTAATAAGGTGATAATGAACATAATGAACTTTTTTTTTTTCATTCATTTTCTTAACGCGTTTCAAGAGAGATGTTCCAATTGTTTTGGGGGAACGCGCCAATAAATCATTTGTTTACAAAATAAATGTGATTCTCTCATGAATTTTTTTTTTTTTTTTTCCTCTTCTCTTTCTTTTAATATAAACTCATTTTCTAATAATAAATTAATTAAAAGCATATATTAATTTTCCTAATATGAAATAATTATCTTTAATAAGGTGATAATGAACATAATGAACTTTTTTTTTTTCATTCATTTTCTTAACGCGTTTCAAGAGAGATGTTCCAATTGTTTTGGGGGAACGCGCCAATAAATCATTTGTTTACAAAATAAATGTGATTCTCTCATGAATTGTTTCCCCCAAAATATGAATTTGTGATCATAAGACCTATAAATTACGTTAGATAGCTTTATTTCGAATTTTCTATATAAATCAGAAAAGATTATGATTGGAGTTTCAATAATAAATAAATATTTTTCAAACTAAACAATCTAAGCATTTTTATATTTCATTTTACACAATAATTAAAAATTGTTCATTATAAAATCACAAATCACAATTAAAAATTGTTTCAATTTTGATTAACCTTACATGTAAGTACGCGTTATCACAGTGAGATTGGTTTATAAATTTGTGATATAAAACATATATTTTTAAACTAAAACAAGAAATTTTAGAAATTTTCGAATTTTTAGAAAACCAGGGACGTTTGTACTTTTGTTTGAATCTATTTTTATATGCGTACACGTATGTCAGTTACGTCAGTTTTAAAATTTTTGATGAGGAAGTATAGAAGTATAGGTGTATAGGAGTACGGAATTATAGGAGTACGGAGTTCGGAAGTAAATTGTAATCCGCAGTAATAATCAAAAAAAAAAAAAAAAAAAAATAGATTAATATTAATCAACAATAATTAATAATAATTAATTATGATTTACAATTTTCGATTTTTTTAAAAAAAAAATTCTTTATTTTTTATTTTTTTAATAATAAATAATAATAAAAACTTTAATAAATTTAAAATAGCTTTAATATTTCTTTTAATCATCTTTTAATATACTTTTAATATTGTAAACTTGTAAATAATGGAATTTCCGATAATCAAAACAAGAAATTATTATTATATATATAAAAAAATTTGATTTATCATCAGATGTAAATAATTATTAATATTTTAAAATATTCGGAAAATAATCCGGGATCAATATTTTTCCAGAAAATATGAGTAATTATTTATTTCGGAAATTTAAAAAATATGAAAATATTTTCCAAGTAAGGAATAATGCAATTAAAACGTTTTGAGAAACAAGAAGTGATACAAAAGTACTTGAATGCATATTGACATGCAATGGTGA